TACTATCGTTGTTTTGTCTACCTCTGGCCATCCGACGGGGTGAGTCTAAGGCACTGCCGCATCTTGCCATCTGTATCCTCACGTTCATCTGTGATCAGATCACTTGGTGAGAGCCTCGCATGCTTCTGCAAGTCCAGCAGCCTAAAACACACATGCATGTTAAACACTCATATCCATATGTGAATATCTATTCATACACACACTCATACGTACACATAAAGAGTAGATAATATTATTATTAATAGATAAGAGTAGCCTCTATTATCTACTCTTGATACACACATACATACCAATGATACCCCAAACTCCCACATCCACTCTGGTTTACCACATTACAAATTTCCATTTTACAATTTACATATGTGTATATGTGTTTTCACAGGTATTTTCAAGACTGCCTCATTTTGAGTGGGGGCTTTTCAATTACATGACCATTTTCAAACACAATTCTCATACACAAGTATATCAGTATTTCTCTGGCAATGATCTAGAACTTTTTATGGTTTAGACAGTTTCACAGTGGTGGAATTCAACTTTACCGGGATTATTTGTAACTGCCTTTCTCATATTACATGGCACAGACATAAATTTAATACAGCTCTCTAGATGTTTTTGATACGTTATATAGCTACTGTAGTTTTTAAGCCATTTATAATGCTGAGTGATTGTAAGGTGTGTGTAAGGAGGTAATCGAGGTTGCCACTTAATACATCTGAGATCTAGCATCTAAGCTCAATCTAGCATGGCACTGGCTGCAAGGCTGCTGGAAAATTTACCGTCAACCTGTAGTCGTTAGCAAACACTCACCGAAACGTTTTGCACATGTAGAAGAATGCAGCGTAGCTGGCGCCCTCTGCTGAATCTACACTAAACACACTGCTGTCCCACAACGCATTCTCATGCTCGGCAGTGACGGGGGTGACGCCGGCGCCACCTACAACCGACGTGGCGTCCTCTGCGTCCGACGTCCTGCCGTCGGCGCCACGCTGTCTCTGGAGCTCCTTGCCGATGTGGAGTCCCCGCAGGATTAGACTCGTGTACGTCGCCGGGTTCGCGCAACTCAGCATGAAGAAGTTTGCGAGGTGGTTGTAGATCCTCACGAGGCTGGGTATGGGCAATGCGACGCTGCCCCCGACACGAAGCCTGCTCAGCAGCAGCAGCAGGCAAGTCTCCGCCTGCTCCGAAGTCAGCATGCTCAGCTCTCCGGCTGCGGACGACCATATTGGTTACATAAGTAATACAGCAGTGCTTCTTAAACTGGTGAATGGTTCACCGAAGGGTGAATGAAATGATTTAAGGGTGAACGAAACTCGCCAAAAACATGAGGAAATTTAGTCGCAGGTGAATGAAATTTTGTGATAAAGACTCTGCAATACAGTGTGAATCGGGAGTACCGCATCTTTCAATGCACCCCGTTTACACTGAATAACTGCCAGACTTAGGGGGTTATGGTACACTGTTACGGTTAGATTAGATTTCGTGTTCTAGGTATATGTGTTTTTTTATTTCAAATGGTATACGGTCCACCAAATATTAAGGTAAAATGTACATGTAGTTATATACCGATTAATGTAATCAAGAAAAGCATGCCACGGAAAATGTATCTGAACATGAGACACAGGGTTGCTGAATTCAGGGAGGCAATAACATACCCAGAGAATATGGGTGCTGTGGTTAAAGAACATGCTACAATTCTCTCAACTAGCATTTAGTTCACGTGTACGTGTAAAACAGAGATTGCCCTGATGTATGCAACCGTGTTGCATATGCAATTATATCATGAATATATAGCTGTATTACAGCAGTGCTATACTAAAGTACTATAGTTGTAGTACTATATTATACCATGGATAAGTTTATGACCCTATCATATCTGAAAGTGCACCCCACCAGCTGACTAGACTTGTAATGTAGTAGCCAGGGCCGTCGCCAGGGATTGACTAACGTTGAAGCCCAGTCCCACAGTGTGAAGTACCGTAAAGGGTTAGACTGTCTGAGGGGGTTTCCCCCTCCCCTTGGGGGGGTCCAGGGGGTCTCCTCTGAAATTTTTTTAAATGCTACATGGAAAATGGTGTATGCTGGCGAGTTTCAAAATGAAATTTTAACATTTGAAACACAGTAAAAAGTATATTGCAACTGTTTAATTTCACAATTTTAAAAAAAATCCGGAAATAACGTTGAAGCCCGGAGCTTCCGGGCCTCTGCCTGGAGACGTGCCTGGTAGCCGGTCAGGACTTGCCTGCAGATTTACTCTATGGCACCCTGTCACTCTCAACACCACGCTGTACTGACGTCTACAGCCACCTTTACTTGCCTACCGTAGGGAATGTGCGCTGGCAGATTTGCATCGCTCCGATGACACTTGGGTTTCTTGTTCATCGAGGAAGCCCAGCAGTTCCACACTGTCAGCGCCAATCCGAGATCTGGCTCCCGATCGACACCTGAGGGAGAGAACATTACGCAGTTTTTGTATTTTACAGGGTGTAACCTAATGAAGCCATACAATGTCGAAATTTACTAGTTGTTTATCACTAACTCTATAGCTTAACGGCATTGAGTGGAACGCTGGTAGATTCCTTATGGGATAGTGCAGTTGATCTGCAATTATTCTGTAGCGAGGATTTAGAGAGTGAGGTACGTCGCCCGTTCATACGCGAGTATAACTATCACGGAATAACGCACTAGTTCAAATGACAGTAGTCTTTCTATTGCCTTCTAGCGATACAAAAGGCTAGCAGATAGACATACAGGCCTGTACCCAGAATTGGCCTAAGGGGGGTTCCAAATCAGAGGTGTGTGGGTAACTGCAAGCGCCAAAGGCGCGAAGCAATGTTAGCGGGGTCTGGGGGCATGACCCCCAAGGAAAATTGTGAAAATTGGCTTTAAAATTGCGCATTCTGGTGCATTTTAACAGTTTTCTTCTGGTTAAGTTGGATTCGACTTAGGCAAGGTCAACTGTATTTATTTTTTGATGGTTGGGGGGTTCCAGAACCCCTGGAACCCCCCCCCCCTTGGGTACGGGACTGACATAGGCTAAGATATGGTAACGGATAGATGTATTACTCACCTAAATTATTTGTTATGTTCTCCAGAAACTTTCTATAAAAAGAAAAACAGATTCTGAAATTAGCCCAAATTAGTTGCTGTAGCTCTATTGAGTGATATAGCCAATAACTTGGGAGTAAGAATAACCATATATATATTGCAAGTCCATACAATACACACTCTGGCAGCGCCCAACCTCAGTACCAAATGTCGGCTTTGCGTATACTCTAGAGGTAACTATAGAGAACCCACCTTCCCAACTATATCTAGTTAGTTGTTAGCTCTAGTACTACAGCCCTTGTTCGCCACAGGCATGTGCCTAGTAAGGCTGAAGGGGTCGTTGTCGTATATGTATAGTACCCGAGGTGTCGGCGAGTATGTTGCCTACGCCTACTCCCTAACCCTATCAAATAGTTACCTCGGGTACATATGATATTATACGCCATTATACGACAACGACCCTTCGTGCCCTAGTAAGCTAGAACTTTTTAGTTGTTAGATTTTGACCATAGCAGGGTTCTCCCCAAGATATCTCGTTTTCAAACAGGGCGAGCGGGAAGCGGGGGGGAAACTAGGGGAGGGGGAGAGCTAGGGGTCCGGGGCGTGTAGTTTTCCGTACAGTACTAATCTAATGCGTAAAGAGTCGCCACCACACCATAAGACGGTATTGTGGGTTGCCTTGTATAATAAGACGGCCGAGTCGGTTGTACAGTTCAGTGACAGGTTAACTGTGCATTGTCAGTTAACTTTGTACTGTGCTCAGTGCATCGTGTGTACGGCTTAAAAATAGCCCGCTCGGATGTCCTGGTCGAACGCAACTTTCTTGACCGGCGATTCCCGCGCGTGCAACTTTATTGTGCTGGAATTTAAACGGGGCGGAGGTAATTCAAACGGGCGCAACATCAAACAGGGGGATTCTTCCCGCAAACGGGCGCGCCGGGGCCCGCGATTTTGCGCAACGTAGGGCGCAACCCTGCATAGCAATAGGCAATACACTGAAACATGCAGATGCTGAACTTGAATATTCGTCGTGTCATGACCTACGTGACATACATGGCAAACTGGTATGTAAAGTTTATCTAGATGTATTATTTTGTGCGCTTAACTGACCATACTCTATTACTGAGGCTCATAGGGCTCTATATGTCCTCCAGCGTACTGCCGGAACGTACCCTGCATGGTCACTATTTGATATGGTTAGGGTTAGGGTACCCGGTTAGGGAGTAGGCGTAGGCGACTCCCTATATTATATAGACTCATTAGTGGAGTAGGCGAGGTACGGTCCGGGATATTAGATAGTACCAAGGTACGTTCCGGCAGCACCCTGAGGGACATACACCCTCTCAGCATTACTGAGTAAGTGAGTAAATTATTAATTCACCCTGGGTATCCATCTACTATATCGATGGATTGTTGCGCAGGCTTTCTTTCTTTGTCCTTTGTTTTCGTCCTGGGCGAACTTCTCAGTGATGTACCCTGATAACCATTCATAGTTTCTAGCTCGGTCTCCGCTGTAGAATTATTACCAGCGTCCATCGTTACGTGAAGAGAAACAGACACGTAAGTTTTGCAAACTTATTTAGATCACATGACTCAAGTTCGAAGTTCGACGAGCTTCACACCATTGCGTCCATGTTACTTCCGGCGTTCCGCTACTTCCGCCTCCTGTATGCTCAACGCGATGCGTCTCAGTTCAACAGTTCATTTATCTAAATAACTAGATATCAAGATCACATTTAGACGTATTTGAAGCGTAGCATGTTCATGTACGCAGTTGTAGCACAAACTTAGCAAATGGTACGGCCTATGGTTCGCTGTTGAAAGCAGCAAATAGCGGTAGCTGGCGTACGTGTAGCTTGCGGGACTCGAAAAACCGGATTTCCCACGTGACGCATCCATTTTAGCAAGGGTGGGGTGGGTATTGCTGATAGAAACCATGTTCGCAGTTAGTGCTGAACTCGCGGGTATTCATTGTACGCCAAGTTATTAATTTTTATTTTATATTATGCTAAATAAACACATACTGTATTTATTATCAAAATTAACGTTTATGTACCTACTCTCTATCGCATAATAATTCCAAGTTTATGGCGTTGAAATGCTCATCTGCAAACCACAAACTCACCCCCCCCCCCGCACGTCATCGTGCACAAACTCACAGAAAATTATTTTTTATATCATTTCTTTCTTTGTTTCGTTTTTGAGTGAAACTCTATATCTAAGTGTGCCGGGTTTACAAAATATATGGCATATATTCCCAGTTCCCAGCTTAATAAGATCACAATTCCATACCAATTCTTAGAAAATAATTACATTTACATCAGGAGTAGATAATAGGAGGTTATTTACTCCTGATTTACATCGCATTCCCATATATTATTAATTATAGATACTGGCCATCCTACACAGTTTACTTTTGGGAATCCACCATTTATATCACATATAATAATTATAGC